CTTTTCTGACTCAATGGTAAAATGTATACTTTGTTCAGTTTTATGGGTCAGTAAAAAGGTAAGGAATGGGTTATTGTTAATTTTGTAGTTTGCAGTAGAATTTGGACAATTTTCACTAGTTTCTGCCACAAAATATAATGCATCCTAGCATCAATAAATGATGAGAAGGTACGCCTATGATGTCCGTATCTGATAAGCAGGGGACCTAACCAATTTTCAATTTACGATCACATGGGAGTAACAATGCCTTAGTAAGACATAATCATTGGGTTAAAGTCCCACTGGGTTCTTTTCGATTGTGTCAACTAGGGGGGTGAGGTTGCTTGAGTACCCAAATGCAGAGATGAGTGAAGCAGAGATGAATTCTTGTTGGTTAATTGAAAAAAAAAACTGAGAAAGAAATCCAAAAATGCAAAATACAAAGACACCCCCCAGAAAAAATCAGGGAAAACTCACGTGGGGAGCCAGAGACGAGGAAGAGAAACAAAAAAAAGAAAACTCAAACAGAATCAAAAAGAGCAAAGTCATAAGAGATTGTCCTTTGTAGAGCGTGGCCCTCTGGATGAGCCCATAAAACATAATCCACTTTCCCATTTAAATTAGCGGGTTATCCTGTGGTTTTCAAACTTGGATTGACCGGCTAATAATCAGCATTTGGCTCCCTTCCCATTGGCAAAAAAGCTGGTCTAACCCCTCGCTGGCAGCTGATCCCCGGTGGCTGCATGTCTGGTGATACCATCATGCTGGATTAGCGTTGATAATGTCACCAGTGCAACAGAAATCAGGAAAGTAAATAATGGAGAGTATCATAGAAGGAAGCCAGGATGTAGTCAGCATGCTTTATTGTTTTGCTTTATTATCTGTCTGAATCCCTCTCACCAGAGCTGCTCCATGTTTATCGAATGTAAACAGAGTTCAGTAAAAACTGAAAAAAAAAACAATCCACTTGACTTGGTTTCCAAGGTTTGAAGATATTTCGCTTCCCCTCCAGGAAGCTTTCTCACCTCTTATACAGAGGTGGTGGACTCAGATTCCAGCTTCAAAAAACTTACAATTCAGTTATAGAGAGGATCCCTTCCAGATATCACCACACCCCCCACCCCATCACAGAGGAACAAAGTACCTCCCCACTTCAGCCGGTGAACAATACCTCCTTAACGACCGACCCTTAATCATAGACAGGTTTCAGGTATTACACGAGACAATCCCCCCCTTTAACGACAATCGCCCCCTTTAATGACTGACCCTCAGAATCATAGACAGGTTTCAGGCATTACAGGCTAACAATGGAACCAAACGACCCACTCCTCAGTTACCATTTCCATGTTTCCAAGCAATACAAGGCCTTGTCTATATAAAGACTCAAACTCACTGTGGATCCAGACATTTAAATTGAGAAAGCCTCCTGGAGAGGTAGCGAAACGTCTTCAAACCTTGGAAACCAAGTCCAGTGGATTGCTTTTTTTTACTTTTACGGAATGACTATGACTTGGATGACTGAGAATCTTCATCGACGTAAACAGCCTTGTTTCGACTTGTTAGATCAGAAGCGACTGATAAGGTGTGTTGATGTCCTTAAGTTACATTCAGTGGTATCACCTAATTTAGGGGTAAAACCTGCTGTGGTGTTCCCACAGAGCCGTGTCAGAGCAGAGGAGATTTTAACACGGATCGCTTGGCAAGTTGTTTAACCTGGTAAGACACATGCAAGTGAGCTGCACCCACTGCCACTCAAAGCAGATTGTTCCCGGGTTCAACATCTTTTTTTTTTTGGCCAGTGGGAAAGGGGTAATAATGATGCTAACGATGGACACTAGTCTCAATTTTGACAGGGTTTTAAGCATAGTCTGTCTTAAACACTAATCCATGATTTTTTTAAGAAAATGCTTTGATAACTTTACCTTAGTTTATATATTATAGTGTCTCACTGACTTCCTTATCACAACTTCAGATAGCACAGAATGCAACTGCATGTGTGTTAATTATTGCATTCATTTTTCCACTATTTTATGAAATGATCGCAGCTCTTAGAGGGCCGAGCAATGGGTCAACCCCTGTCCACTCCTTGCCTACTTGTCTGTAAGCGAGGAGTGGAAGGCCTCTCCTTACAGTAGCAGCAATTCATACGCTATTTAAGGAGCTCTCTGACACGACTAAGAATTAGGAATTAGAATATTTACCTGAGAGATTCTACTTTGCAGTTTGAACTCTCTAGTCCAGCAGATAATATCTTCACTCCTGAATCCTGCAGGTTGTTGCAAGTCAGGTCCAGCTCTATGAGACTGGAGGACTGGGAGCTGAGAACTGAGGACAGAGCATCACAGCTTCTTTCTGAGAGGTTACATCCACACAGTCTGAGGAGACAGAGAGAAAAATGTTAATAAACTAAAAATCACTCATTCAT